TGGGGCTTTTTTTTTTTTTTTTTTTTTCAGAATTGGCTGGATCTAGAGGGTGTGTATGTGACTGTGGAATTGATTCACAGTACAATGCTGAGCTCAAGGGGGCTAGGACTAAAGGTATGAGTGCTACCAGCCCTATGTAGTCTGGCTAAAAGGGGCAGAAAAATGCTGTTAGATTCTTTGTGGGTTTTGCTACTTTCTGGCCACCATGAACTGTTTCGCTTCTGCAAGGCCTGTCTGCCACCTTGCCTTGGAGCCAGCCACTTGTGGACTGCAACTTCTACAAACTGTGAAGTAAATAAACCTTTCTCCTTTTAACTTTGAGTGTCGGGTATTTTGTCCCAGCAACAGGAAAACTACTAATGTCCCTGATGTTGACATTTACATTGTTTTTCTTTTAGTTTCTGCAGACATTTATGTTTTTACATTATTGTGCCATCAAGTTTTGTTGATTTTCAGATTATATCCCTATGATAAAAATTCAAAAGCAGCATTTCTGAGGCTCTTACTATGATTCAACATATGTCTAAGTTATTTGCCTATTTGTTGGTTGGATTATTTGGTTTTTGTTTTGTTTGTTGATATCATTAAATATCCTGAATATCAACCTTTTGTCTCATGAATAGTTCACAAGATTTTCTCCCACTCTATAAGTTGTTTCTTCCCTGTGTGATTGCTTCCCTTCTTTTGCTTTCTGGAAGCTTCTTAGTTTGATATAATCTCACTTGTTTGTTTGTTTTTTTGAGACAGGGTCTTACTATGTAGCTGAGACTGACCTGGAACTCACTATGTAGCCCAGTCTGGTCTCGAACTCACAGCGATCCTCCTGCCTCAGCCTCCCTAGTGCTGGGATTACAGGTGTGCACCACCACACCCGGCTCACTTGTTTATTTTTTTGGAGTCATCAAAAATCATTGCACCTGGGGCTGCGGGCATAGCTCAGAGACAGAGCACTTGTATAACATGCACAAGGCCCTAGGTTTGATCATTAGCACTAAAAACTCTCATTCCTCCAGTACCAGTGGCATCCTAAAATTGCTTCTGTTACAGAAGTTTAAAAAAGTAGAAGTCAGCTATGTTATTTCAAATTTCATTCTTTAAAAAGTTGCCTGGGTCCGTACTGTAGGTAAACACGGGTAATGATTCTTCCAAAGGTTAACCTGTGTTCACAGAGTTAAAACTAAATACAAAGAAGATATCTAGAAAGAGGGAAAGGGGAGAGAGAGGGAGAGGGAGGGGGAGGGAATTCCAACATTCAGTTTGGCTCGGAATATTCAGATCTTAACTGAAGCCCATCACTGGGCAGTCTCCTGAAGCCGCCCTGAGGTTCAAAGGTGGGTTACTCAAGGGCCTGTGTAGTTCCCCAGGGGCCCAAAGACAGATCTTTGTAGCAGTGCTAGTTTTATAAAATACTGTTTCTTACATTCTACCAGGTAGATTTTACACTCCCCAAATGAAGGGAATAAACAAGTATCACCGCGCACCGTTACTTGGAGCGGTATCCCCATGGCCTAAAATGAAATTCCATTCTTCTTGATGTGCAGACCCAAGGACTGATATGACAAGACTCGGACGAGGTTGTAGGTATACTGAGCCTAAAGTCTTGGGCTCAGAAAGCTCATCATTTTTCTTCCCCAGTTCTTACTGAGCTCAATCCCAGCTCATTTTCAGAAGGTGTCCCAGATATAAGGTGGGTAGCAGAACACTTCCACCAGCCAGGAATTCGAGCATCATACGCCAAGCCCCACTACACCAGCCTTGCAGAGGGATCGAACTCAGGACCTTGCGCTTATGAGGCAGGTGTGGTGCCACTGAGCTACATCCCCAGCCCAAAATGTCCTTTCTTGACATAGGCCCTCTGACATTTTACCATATTTGACTTTGGGATAAATGAGCCCTTTCTTTCTCATTATTCTTATAGTATTCTATTCTTCCTTTCTTGTCAGATACTGTGGACAGAAGTGTGGCTCTGAATTCTATTGCTTTCCCCAACTTTCTCTGTACAGAGCACTGCAGTATCTAGCTGAGTTGTTTATAAGCCCATAGAATCTCAAGGGTTTTCAGGAAATGTGCAATGAAAACAATTTCTAGTATCACCAACTAGACAGGCAGGCACAATCTCTTGGAAGCTGCCACCAGCGTAGCACAGTCCTATACCTAGAGTAGCTGAGAGGCAGGGATGAGATTTCTCTGAATTTTGTGCCTCTCAGCAGCTGTGTCAATATGAGAACAACCATTTCTGTGGACTGAAAGAACGGGCCAGAAATGGGTAACAGTACATCCCTGTAAGTACCTTGTCCGTGAAGCACTCAGGGATCTATTTTTGCCAAGCTATGTTGAAAGATTGGAAGAGAATGATATAAATCTAACACGGGATTATCTAGAAAAGCAGAGAGATTTTAGGATTCTTCTCTACTTTGATATTTCTGTTAAAATTGGCTTTCTTAGTCTTTTCATCAATATTGGTATTACTGATTAAAGCAGCTTGTCTGTAAGAGTCTTGAGTAGTCCACAAAAGTCTGAAACTGCTCTTGCACAGATAAACACAGAAATCATAGTGAAATCTAGAAAATCACTTGTGTTCTAATTCCTTAAATTGAGTGTACGTAACAATGTTTGGGGAAGCCAAGAACATGAGCTTTCACAAATACCAATCCAACTGTTTAATTTCACAGACAAGATTGATAGCAACTGCTAAGTTAAAATTTACTTATTGCCAGAAATTTTATTCTCCCACATTTCAGCAAAGCTTCTATGAAAAAGCTAACTTGAATTTTAATTCTTTTTCCTGTTTCAGCCCCTGCCAAAGGTACCAATAGGCACTAAAATTTCTACAAGTACGTAGAGGGCAAAGAGAAAGAAAGAAAAAGGTGGGTAGCCACAGACTGGACCGGCAGCCCTTTAGAATGTGTGAGACATTCTCTTCCTAGGTGATCTACTCACCGCAGAGATTAAGGATAGTAGTGCTGTGAAAAATGTCACCTCATTTTCACATCCGTGCTATACAGGCCAGGTTTCCTCCCTCACCAGTGAGCAGTAGAGGAGCTCTTCTTACCTCTACCAGTTTTCCGTCCCTCCATGTTTTCCTACATAAAAGTAGTGTGCTGTGGAGAACTTTGCCTTTTGGTGGGAGGTAGGAATGGAAATCACCACGTGCGCTCTTTGTGGATTTGCCAGCCGGGGTTCCACTAAGGCCTTCCCGGAAGATGTAGAAGAGGGCAGCACAGAATCCCCGCTGTCCTGTTCTCGTACTAAATCCCTTTCGGATTGCCGGAATCTTTTACAGGTGGACGTATGCGGTTTTGTGAAGACCATAGTGGGAGGTTTGTTTCTACAGAATGAAAAGCATGAATACTAAATTTAGGAAATTTGCAGGAACCAGGGCTGTAAAAAAAGAATGGTAGCAATTCACTGTACACTCGTGAAGTGGAAAGATAAAGAATTTGTAATGGAAAGTAGGACAGAAGGATGTATGAAATAAAACGGACATACAAGCTCAGATATCACATGGTTTCTCTAGGATGAGAATCCAAAATTACAAAGAACAGATTAAAGGTACATAATAGGAAGTTGGGAGATAGATCTTCCTCAAATGGGAAAGGGATCAAGATATGGAAGGAGTGGGTAAAACTGGGATGAAAATTGAGATGTATTATGTACATGAACCAACTCCACATAGGGGATGAAATCATTATGTACTATACACATGTACTAATAAAAAATAAATTCTGCTCTAAAAAAAAACAATACACAGGCCCGGGGATTTAGCTCAGTGGCATTGTGCCTGCTTTGCAAGTGCAAGGTCCAGGGTTCAATCCCCAGTACCTAAAAACACAAAACAAAACAAAAACCCCAAGAATATAACGTTGTTCTTTGTTGAAAATTTTAGATCTTGTAGGAGACTGACAATCAGAAGAGGAGAAACAAGCAGGGAAGAGATTGCAGTCAGGTGTTCGCAAGGAATACATCACAACAACAGGCTGGGACTTCTGCTATCCCGGGGTAAGTTTTAGCTTAAGATTTGCAAAGCTAGCATTCTAGAAGTTGCTTCATTTCTAGGTATTAATTAAGCCACCACTAAATGCAATTCTCACTAACAATGGTTAACTGGGTCAAAGACTGTCCTTTTTCGATTTTTTAATAGCACACTGTTAAAAGAATGAAACATAAACAGTTCGTATAATGATCCCCAAGGTGAAAGCGTTAAGCACAATTGGAAAAGGTGTCAAAGAACAAAGACCTTGGGCTGGGGATTTAGCTTAGTGGCACTGTGCCTGCCTTGCAAGTGCAAGGTCCTGAATTCAATCCCTGGTACCAAAAACAAAAACAAACAAACAAAAAGAACAAAGACCTAGCTGCAGTGAATAATGCCCCATACTTCTTTCAAAGTACTTCCAGCCACTGCTCATTTTCATATTATCTTGCTAACTGGGCTTTGTCCAGCCTTGAAGAGGAATGGATTCGCGAATTCCTCCTGGACCTCCTGAATTTGTCTTCCGAGGGCTCCAGTCATGGATCTGGGATCTTGATACAAACCAAAGCCTCCGTTCTTCTGTGGAGGTTTTGTCAGCACCATGTTGGCGTCTGCTGATCTTACACGAGCTTCAGGAGACCGTTCCCCGTGCGTGTGGTCACGTCCCTGAGCCTCTCCCAGTCTCCTGAATGCGTTCCCTTAGCTGCGCTCTGCAGAACCATTTGATCAGACACCGATTTAGGTGTTTCTGTGAAGGTGTTTGGGGGTGTCTGTGTGTAACATTTAAACCAGCAAACTCTGAGGAGCGCAGACCCTTCCATCGTGTAGTGGGCTCATCCCATCCGCCAAAGGCCTTAGGAGCAGGCACTCAAAGTCTGTAGCACACAGACCCTGGCCCAGTACAGTCTGTTTTCCATTACTGGCAACTAAAGGAGTGCATGCGACATGAGATCACCCAGGGTTGATGTTCTAAGAATGTGACTTTGGACATGACATGGTGAAGTAGGCGTGATCATGGGAGGAAATAAAATGAGTCTTGGAAGAAACTTGTACTCACAGGTCCCAAGGAAGGGTTGCCACATGGCACGCAGGGCCAAGGAGAGGCATCAGATTGGGGACACGTGGCAGAAGACATGAGCAAGAAGTCTAGGCACGCACGTAGCTATTGACATCTCCTCGGAAAAAGCAAGGTAGGGCCGTGTAAACTCTTTAGGACTGGCAGTTTGAAAAATTCCAGTTGCTTGTTACCTGGCCCAGGATGCTTTAGGGCAGAGAATATTGGCATAGTGTCTGAGATTAGATCAGAACATGGCCGAGTTGTAGACTTGGATCGGTCGGTTTGTATATGAAAAACATGCTCTTAAGGAAGTTCTTTGCTGTCTCTAAAAATCAGCTAGTCCTGGAAGGGCTTTCCGAGATAACAAAACTTCAAAAGTACATTCCGGAGTGTTTTTATTCAACTGCATGGAGAGTCCATTTAAACCAGAAGGGTAGAAGGAGCTGGGGATTCAGCTCAGTAGCGCTGCTGCCTGACTCGAACTGCGAGGTCGTGAATTTGATCCTTGGTACAGGAGAAGGAGAGGCGGGGGAGGGGGAGGAAGAAGAGGAAGAAAGAAGAAAAGAAAAGAAAAGAAAAACAAAACCCCCAGAAGGGTAGCCTCCCAGGGATACACAATTATCTGAGAATCACACCTATCAGAGCTTGCTAAGCGGGTGTGTGTGTGTGTGTGTGTGTGTGTGTGCGTGTGAGAAATGGGAGGGGGGAAGATGAGAGGGACTCCAAGCAGTGAGGCCTTGTGCTCACATCCCTGTGGCCGACCAGAGAGAGGGAGGGGAGGCCAGAGCCATGACACAGGCTGGTGGGGACTTGGGGTTTTGTTTCAGCGGAAATGAGACTTCAGGGAGAGTGAGATTTTTGTGGAGAGACGGAGGGAAGGGGCATGGTGAGGCGAAGGTCCCTCTGGCTTCTGAGCATCCGGGAAGCGGTGACAATGGTTCAAGGGAGGTAACGGCAGCACAGACTGGGACAGAGACAACAAGGGTAAAACAAGCGCACGGGCTGAGGATTAAACGGTTCTAAGCGGACAGAAGGCATTTGGAAGAATTCCTAGCCGGCACACCAAGGGGAGGAGCGTGAGGTGGGGGAGGGACCCCGCGAAGTACGGAAGAGGCAGGGTCCCGCTGAAGGGCCCTCCGGAACCGAGATTCTAGTCTTCCAGAGCACCAGCGGGTGAGCCTTTTCTGTACTGGGGCACAGAGTTAGCGTTTCAGGTTTCGCAGCCAAGAGTCAAAATATTATGCGAGCACTACTATGAGAAAGAGAAAACAAATTTGTATGAAACTTTCTACTGACAAACTTTAAAACCAAATAATTAAGAGCAGTTCTTTTGTGATGCAAGTCTCCTAATGAAACAATGGAATTTGGGGCTGGGGAGGCTAACGCCTTGCTTAATTGGTTTGCAAAGTCATTGTTCCATCCTCCAACTGTGAATGTTCATCTTTTAATGCTGGTCTGAGGTGAGGTTTCCCGTGTGTGTTCACCCGAAATGCTCTGTTTTAAACAGATAGAGGCTGTCCACCACCACAATTCATGAACACATTATTTAATCCGAGCATGCTCGTAAGACTTTCATGGAATTCCATTAGACTCTCCGCTCAGCAGTGATTTTGAGCATGCCATTAGGCTGTAGATGAATCCGTTCCACTGCAGCTTGGATAGAAACTCCTGAATTGCACAGTTAAATGGATCTTGAAATGTGGAAATTTCCTTTGTCCTTGCATTGAGGTCAGAGAAACACTTCTGCAGTTGTCATTTGAGCTCAGGAAAAAAATACCTGTTGTAAATGGAGACTAGAGATTCGGCTTTTTGTTTTAACTTTGACAGTGTGCAAAGAGCTTGAAGCCGCTCGATATTACCTATCGTCTCTATGACTTTATCATGCTGTAAGTTTTGCCTAGAAGCATTTTTTGGCCTCACAATCTAAAGTTTGAATTGATTAAGAAATATTATCAAGTCTGCATAAAGCAGTTTTCCAAAGTTACTACCAGGGGTGGAGAGCATGCGTAGGACAGGCTGTTCCTGCTGTGCGTTCATACTCCTTTCCATGCTGTGTAACACAGTGTGCTTCAGGCTGTGCTTTGCCCTAAATGACTCCATCTTATAAAGTAACATTTTGCTCCTTTCTAGGTACAAACACACAGGCAGAATAATTTGGTAACTCACCTGTGATAATAGATAATCACCAAATTATCCAAAAGACAAAAATCCCAAACCACAAGCAACTCCTAGTTGCATAGCACAATTGTAAGACACGAGCTGATAAATTAATTATGTTAATAAAAATTGCCACCTGTAAACTGATCCCGTTAAATCAGGGCCACACAGACGCACCGTGTATCAAAGTTAGACCTGAGAAAATGGCCTGAGAGCTTACCGGACACACAGGATCCAAGAACATTGGCTGCCTACGTTTTTCTTATTTGGACGTGATGGGTACGGACTAGCCATAAAAGAGTCAAGTAAAATGCCATGGTGCAGTGATCCACAAGGCATTGAATGCCGTCTCATTAGAACAGTGTCCCTCAGACTGCATGCACCTGCAGCTTCAGAAAGCAGTGACAAAAACCTAAAGGTCTCCACCATGTGGGCTGGGGGTGTAGCTCAGTGGCAGAGCACTTGCCTGGCATGCGCAAGGCTGTGGGTTCAATCCCCAGGGGAGCAAAGAAAGTTTAAAAGAAAAAAATCTTTGTCCCAAGAACTCAAATCTCATTGTAGCACAAGAGCAAGAAATATGACATCCATCTAAGTAAGGCTGTGTTCCTATTAAATCTTATGGACGTGGAAATTTGAATTTGACATAATTTTTATGCATCACAAAATATTTTTCTTTTACTTTCCAGTAATTAAAGAACATGAAACCTATTTTCAGCTCCAGTATCTGTGAGGAACAGGTGGCAATCCTAATTCGACCTGCAGGCTGTAACTGGCCAATCCTCGCCGTCGAGGGTGAAGATTTCTTTCAAGGTAAAGTCTGAAAATGGCCCTGGGAGAGCTCGGCCCTGTGCTGGGCCCAGGGCCAGCAGCTTTGAGAACCTTGCGGGGCAAACTTGGGCGGCGAGGGAAGGGTACTGCTTAGTGAGCAGACGCTGCGAAAATGGATGCCCCGGCCAGCGGGGTCAGTAATTGGCAGAGCTCAAGAAGGGGAAGTACCTGGAAATGAGACAAGACGGGCGCGGAGAGAAGGAGACCAAGCAAAGAGTTGTCAAGGTCTCATTTATTTGCAGATACAGGCAGTTTATAAAGGCAAAAACCGCAAAATTGTAAGAGGAAATAGTTAACCATAAACTTTGGGAGGAGAATGTAACAATAGTGTAACACAATGTTACTATGTAACGGATCAGGTCACTTGTCTGCGCAAACCCGTTGTCATGGGTAACGACGCGTCTGTGGTGGTGGGGTGATCAGCGGGTCAACATGGAGGCTGTTTGGTTTTTACTTAGGACAGGCTAGCAGCTTAGTCTACCACATCTCCCCCTTCTCCATTATAAAAATTGAGGAAGGGATATATACCATGCAAGTCAATGAGGGGAGGCGAGGGGTGTCAGAGAAGCAGGTTGTTGATAGAGGAAAAGATGGCCTTGACATCTCGACAGAAGCCCCTGTCTTAGGTTGATCAGTCAGGCATTGACTGTCTTACCCGTCATTGGGGTCAACTGTAGCAAGAGAGGAGAAGCCTCCGGAAGACTTCAAGGGTATTTCAAGGCCCTCCAGTAACTGTGACTGTAAGGACTTGGTAATATTCTCTTTTGGACCTCTCAGATGTCAGGTTTATCCTCTAGTCTTCATAGACGTTCGGATCTGCAAGTAATTTTCCTCCTGATCGGCCAGATCAAGACGATGGTAATGGATTTGAATGGCTTTGGCTTGCATGGTACCTATCTGTTGTTTAATAAAGGCCGTAAGCCTCTTAAATATTAGAGGCCCGATGGTTAATAATATCAGGAGCCCTAATAGGGGCCCCAATAGAGGGAAGAGATAAGGCAGAAACCCACTGAGCCCAGTCCAGAGGGGGTTTTCACGTAATTCCCTTCTGTGTTTTTCTAAATCTTCCTGTAAGGTTTTGATCTTATCCCTAACAATACCAGACTTATTTGCATAAAAACAACATTGTTCTTGGAGGGCAAGACAGATTTCTCCTTGTTCAGCAGTGAGCATATCTAAACCTCTTCTATTTTGAAGGACAACCTCTGCAAGGGAATCAATTTGATCTTGCAGATATTGCATAGTATCAGACAAGGTTTGAACATCATCAATCAATTGTTGAGACAATTTGGCATATTTGTGCAAGGAGACACCTAGGCCAGCGGTCCCGGTGCCAATGGCAGTAGAAATTCCTAGACCAATCATTAAGGGAATGAGCTGTACAGCCCGTTTGGGTCTTCCAGCTATAAAATCAAAGGTGGGAATTGGGACAGGGGTATCTCCTGAGATAATATTAATATTGGGCAAAACAGCAGCGCTTAAACATGTACCTGTCCAATTTTTAGGCAAAAAGGAATATGCATAAGAATTTCCACAAACAAATACAGAGGAATTTCCAGAACATAAGGCTATGCGATTAACAATACTTTGACGATAACTATAATTAACAAAGGTAATAAATCCCACATCTATATCAAAACTATCATTTAAAGGCATACTATAAATACATTGGGGGGTAAAATTATAAGGAAGAGGGGATTCCAAAACTATTAGAATAGGGGAAAAATATAGCAATTAGCTTTATCAAAATCAAAACTAATATTAGGCAGGGGAATTGCCAAGGGAACAAATGGGCCCTGTTTAAGGCAGAGCCAACAATCCTGAGCTAATGAGGGGTTGGTGATATTTAGAAGCTGGTGGATCTGAATCAAAATATCAAGGGTGGCCCCATCCAATGCATCCTTTGTACGGGAATGAATATTGGCTAAAGGATGATATCTAAGAGAAGGGACTTGTGCCTCAATGATTTGATCAATACGATCTTTAACATATTTTTGTTTGGCTTGATCTTGGGGGCCATCTCCATCTGTAATGTAAACAGAGGGAGAGCGATGCCAACAAACTTTTTGTCCAACCTCTCCAGAACATCCAGCGGTCATGAGTTTATTGGTTGATCCAAGGACTTGGGGGTTATTAGACCAATCGCCTCCAAGGCTAGCTGACTGCTCTTTGAGGAGGGTGGCAGTATAATATATTTTATCCCCTTGGGAGCATTCTTGATATTGTTGATAACAGGAGGAATGCATGGATTCTTTAAAAGTTTGGCAAGGACATGGGGGGAGTCCGCCATCTGGGGATGGAGGGAGGGGTTTAGGTTTAGGGATGCATTTCCATTTAGATCCAGACTGATATAGAAGATAAGCCATTTTATCCCCACAATCCTGAGACTGATATATCCCAGTGGGGCGAGTATAACTCGAGAAAGTGCCTCCAAGGCATTGGTAGGGACTTCCTTGTTGTTGCTGAAGATGAAGCAGAGCTTTGCTGGGATTGCCAAAGCCTCCATATGAAGTTTTGATGAAGACCAGGGGAAGCAAGGATCGGAAATTCACACTTGAGGGCATTTTGGCCTTGGAAACCTAGAAAGGAAAAGGAGAGGGTCTCAGGGATGTAGGTCACCTGGACAAAAAGGTTAATTATCAAAAGAATCCATCTGTCTGAGAAATCTTTCAGGAAACCATCTGGCAGCCTTATTTGATGTATCATAGACACAGGCATGACCGTGGCCCCAAATGAGGACCGGACCTGGGCCATTCCAGGCGGCCGTAAGTGGATCCTTCCACATGACTTTAGCATATTGTTTGCTAGTCTGGGGATGCCAAAGGCGGTCAGCAGCTGATTTCCCATTGACATCCAAGGTGAGGAAATTAAGGACAAATAAGGCATGATGTAAAACATTTTTGGGGGAGCTGACAGAGGGATAAAGTGAGGTTGCTTTTAACTTATATAAGGTATTCTTGATGGACTGATGGGCTCTTTCAACAATACCTTGGCCTTGTGGATTAAAAGGAATATCTGTGATGTGTAATATCTGTAATTGCTGTCTTGAAAATTTTTCCCAGTATATCCAGGGCCATTATCTGTCTTAATTGTAGAGGGCTTGCCCAGAATGGAGAGGCAGGCTAGGACATGAGATATAACATTTTTGGATGCTTCTCCTGCCTGAAGAGTGGCATAAATAAATCCACTGAAGGTATCAATTGTAACATGCAGATATTTGAGCTTTCCGAAAGAAGGGATATGAGTTACATCCATTTGCCAAATTTCATTGGGAACTAGCCCTCGAGGGTTAACTCCTAAATGGGGAGAAGGTAATTGAGTGACACAGTTTTGGCATTTCTTAATTTGTCTAGTTTGTTCCTGAGTAATTATGAAAAGAAGGCGCAATGTATGGGCATTGAGATGATGAAGTGCATGGGCCTGTTGAGCTTGATTAATAGGATCTGGGTTGATGGAGAGAAATATTTGGGTGGCTCTATCGGTAACATTATTCCCCATAGCCAAAGGTCCAGGGAGACCAGAATGTGCATGAATATGTCCAATAAAAAACCGATGATCTCTCTGATGAATTAATTTCTGTAATTCTGAAAAAAGAGGTGTGGCATTGGTGGTGGGCTTAATATAAGGAACAGTCTCTAATAAGGGAATAGAGGAGGCCAAATAGGAGCTATCAGTATAAAGATTA